GGCTCAGAGCTGGGGCAGAGGGTTGGGGGTGGGGGTGGAAGGGCTCCGGGTGGGGTTGGGGATCAGGGATTTGGGGTGCAGGAGGATGCTCCAGGGCTATGGCGGGGAGATAAGACTCCCCACCCACCCCCCAGCTCTCTCCCTGCAGCAGCACCTGGGCTGAGAGAGGCGCCTCTCCCCGCCACAGCAGCTCCGGGGCTGGGGTGCAGGATATGCGCCCCTCCCCCAGCTCCCACAGGTCCGGGCCTGGGCTGGGTTCAGGGAGGGTTGCCATGGCCGGGACAGGTCCAGGTCGGGTTGGGGGCCAGACTAGGTTGGGCCCAGAGGAGGGGTGCCCCTCCCCCGGCCGCCCCTCCCCCAGCAGGTTCCCTGAACATCCGCATGGCACTAAATAGGCTGTTGTGCAGCCCTGCAGCTTACAGGGAACTTGGACCCCAACCCCGGGTTACTCCGTACGGGCCAAGCGAAGCTGTTGGATCCCGCGGCGGAACACATCGCATGAATGCTGGGAAGGAATCGGAAGAACTAAGCCAGTGAACTAAAGGAGGCCAGTAGAGAACAGCTACTACACGGGAGGGGAGGGGGTGATGATGAGGCTTTAAGGCAGGGGTTCTCAAACTGGGGGTCAGGACCCCTCAGGGGGTCATGAGGTTATTACATGGGGGGTTGCAAGCTGTCAGCCTCCACCCCAAACCCTGCTTTGCCTCCAGCATTTATAATGGTGTTAAATATATTAAAAAGTGGTTTTAATTGTTAAGGGGGGGTCACACTCTGAGGCTTGCTATGTGAAATGGGTCACCAGTACAAAAGTTTGAGAACCACTGCTTTAAGGGGACTGCCACGGCACACGCGATGTCTCCAGAGCAGCACAGCTCCTGTGCAGAAAGATGGGCCACGTGGCTGGGACACCGATCTGGGTCCTACCCCCCAACTCTGCTCCAACATGTTGGCTTCGCTCTCCTCCCTCTACCTGCTTGTGTTCTCCTCTGAGATGAGAGGCCGCTGCTGGCGATCAGCCCTCAGACAGCACCCAGTGGGGAAAAGCACAAAGTAAACACAACAGCTGGGGGGTGGGGGGAGGGTTCTTGGCAAGTGACCCCCAATTCTGGAACTTCCCCCTTCCATAGGCATGAAGGCCAGAAGAGACCAATCGATCATCTAGCCCGACCTTCTGCATAACACACCCAGTTACCCCCATCCTGAGCTCAGTAACTTGTGTTTGACTCACGCATGTCTTCCAGGAGGGTGGCCAGGCTTCATCTGAAGACATCAAGGGATGGAAATATCCACTCCCTCCCTTGGCCATCTGTTGCAGCTGTTCAAAGTGTGGCCCTCCCATCTACTCTGAATGTGTCATTTGATGAGGGTTCAGGTGACTAGGATCTGGGAGATGAAACAGGCCAGAGAACTGCCCCAATCACAGTGGCTTCCAATTTCCACAGTGGTTAATGATTTGGGGGGGCCTCCATTTTGGGGGGGGACCAATCTGAGACAGCTTAAAGGGGCTCAGTTCTCAGAAAGCACCGAGCACCTGGGAAGGAGGTCCCTTGAAGGCACTTCCGGTTGGGCTGATGAGTTTGCTCAATGGCTCTAATACAGGGGTAGGCAACCTGCGGCACGCGAGCTGATTTTCAATGGTACTCACACTGCCCAGGTCCTGGCCACCGGTCTGGGGGGCTCTGCATTTTAATTTAATTTAAAGTGAAGCTTCTTAAACATTTTAAAAACCTTATTTACTTTACAGACAACAATAGTTTAGTTATATATTATAGACGTCTAGAAAGAGACCTTCTAAAAACGTTACAATGTATTACTGGCACGCGAAACCTTAAATCAGAGTGAATAAATGAAGACTCAGCACACCACTTCTGAAAGGTTGCCGACACCTGCTTGAATGGCTTAGACAAAAGACCCCGCACTGGCGTCTACTAAGAATATGGGAGCCGAGGCGGGAGGGGAAGCACTGTCTCGGATTCTAAAACAGGAAGCACCGTAAGAATGGATGCCCCATTCTCCTAGCACGAGGAAGCTAGTAGCAGAAAGTCCCGCAGGCCTGATGCACCATAGACTACACACTGGACAAGGGACTGGAGAGGAGAAAATAGATAGGTGGCAACATTCGCCAATGAGACAAAGCTACTGGATGGCCAAGGCCACTCACCCAAGGTCAGGAAACCCAGCGACAGATGGAATTCAACAGACGCAATCGAAGGTGTGTTGTAAGGAACAGCCTGCCCACCTGGGCCAGGGGTCCTGTGTCTGGCCACCCCTGGTCAACTCTCAGGGCCAACTGGAAAGGGGTTTTCTAGACCGGGTTGGTGGAGCTCACCGGGAAGGGAGCTGGGCTTTGATTCAGGGGGGCTAAACGGAGGTGAGTACCCTCCTTTCAGCACACAGAGATGGGAGGGAAGTGTCTCGGTGCTGGAGCCCCGCGCAGGCGGAGGAGTGACTCTCTGGGCGGACGTCCTGCCTACGCTGAAGAATAAAAACTGCCGAGACAAGCGGGTGGGGCAGCGCCTCCTGCCCGGGTAGCCACCTACAGCCCTGAACTAACGGGCTGTGGGTGAACAGCAGAGCTCCTGGCAGGGCCACAGGCAGCTCAAATCCAAGCCCAGCTGAGCCAGCAAGAAAGGGGACTAAGATGCAAGCGGGAATGTTCCTGTGGCTACGGCAGCTTTGACTCAAAGCCAAGGCGCCAAAGCAAGGAGGGTAACACGAGAGGAAGGAGAGGGTCCATAGGTGGTGGGCGAATGCAAGCCAGCATGAGGGGGCGCATGACCATGCTGGGTGGCAGTCCAAGGGAGGCAACCCCAAGGAGAGGAGGCGTTAAGCAGTGGAACTCGCTGCTGCAGGATGTTTGAGAGCAATGAGCTCAGCAGCAAACAGGCATTGGCCATTTAGGCAAGCACAGCGGTGCTGATCCCCACGAGAGTACTCTGTCTAAACAGCCCCACACTGGGATCAGGATGAGATCTCCCCCCTTCCCCTCTGCCCACTGAAAACAGCTACTGTTTGAGACCGGACCCCAGCCTAGGTGGGTCACCGGCTGCTCTGATGAGCAGTGAAGGCCGGGATGGAGCACCCTACGCTTCAGCCCAAACCTCATACACCCAGCGCAGCCCTCACCTGTCTCCATGTGGCTCCAAGCCAGCCATGGCTGCGGCATAGGTTTGTTTCCCATGTACGATCCCGACCTCGCTGGCCCAGTCCATCTGCCCTGCTCCAGCCTCCCTGGTCTCAGCGGAGCCCTCATCCCCAGAGCCAAGCTCACGGCTCCAGTCAGTCTGTCTCGCTCTGGTCTCTGCCGGTCCCACGCTCTCGAAGCCACTGGCTGTGGCCGGGCCTCCCGGGCCAAGGTCGCTGGCCCCATCTGGCTGCCCCACGCCAGGCTCTCTGGGTGTATCGGCGCCCCCCGCCCCCAGACTGCTGGAGGGATCCATGCTGCTCATGCTCAGTTCGTTTGTCCAATCCATCCATCCCCCGCTGGGCTCCTCAGGACTGATTGCTCCCAGGCCGACAGAGGGATCTGTGCCACTGAGGCCTAGATCTTGGGTCCAGTCGGACTGCCCCACACCAGCCTCTCTTGGCTCATCCAGGTCCACAGTCCTGGTATAGCCCGCCCAGTCAGTCCGGCTCTCTCCATGCTCTGCTGGGCCCAGGGTCCCGACGGCACCAGATGGTTCCAAAGCGCTCAAGCCAAAGCCACCCGCCCGCTCAGTCCCAATGACGCCAAACTGGCTTTCGTGCTCAGCTCCTCTGATCCTGAAATCACTGGCACAATCCCTCCTAGCGAAGGGGAACTTGCTCTCCTGCCAGTCGGTGCCACTCCACCCAGGCTTCCTGGCACCAGGCTCTTGGGCCGTGCTGTCGGAGTCTCCAACACCAGAGCCAAAGGCACTCTCCCGGTCTGTATGGTGAATGCCATATTCACCAAACCAAGCTGGCTTGTCAGGGCTGAAAGCTCTGTCCTGCCGGGCACCATCACCAACACCGAACTCGCGGGTCCAATCTGGCTTGTCCTGCTGGGTGGTATTGCCAACACCATATTCGCAGGTCCACTCTCTACCCTGCCCATTGGCCTTGACACTGCACTCCTGGGTCCAGGCTGGCTTCCCAGCACCAAACTCTTTCCCCTGATGGTCAGTATCACTGATCCCGTACTCACGGGTCCAGTCTAGCTTGCTGGTACCCAACTCTCTCTCCTGTTGGTCCGTATCTCCAACACCGTGCTCGTGGGTCCAGTCTGGCTTGCTGGTACCCAATTCTCTACCTTGTTGGTCAGTATCAGCACCGTACATGTTGATCCAGTCTGGCTTGCTGGTACCAAACTCTCTATCCGGCTGGTCTGTATCACCACCACCATGATCATAGCTCCAGTCTGGCTCGCTGGTGCCAAACCCTCTATCCTGCCAGGCTGTATCACTGACCCTGGGCTCGTGGGTCCAGTCTGGCTTGCTGGTACCGAACTCTCTATCCTGCTGGGCTGTATCACCGACACTGTACTCAGGAGTCCAGTCTGGCTTGCCGGTACTGAACCTCTTGTCCTGCTGGGTGCTGTCCCCAATGTCGTAGGTGCTGGTCCAGTCCAGTTTCCTGGTACCGAACTCCCCATCCGGGCTGTCAGCACCACCAGTGTTGTATTGGCTGCTCCAGTCTGGGTTGCCGGAGTTGAACTCTCCTTCCTTCCGGCAGCCGTCCCCAATGCCGTAGGCATCGGGCCAGTTTCCGTGCCCCACACTGGAATCACCCAGCAGCTCCGTCTCTTTGTATGAGCCGCTCCAGTCCTGTGTGCCAGTGCCAAACTCCCGATCCTGCTCCGTCTCACTGGCTCTGTAACTGCTGGGCCAGTCTGTCTTCCCAGTGCTGGGCTCGGTGGCCCAGCCAAACTCACCAGCCCGGTGGGCCCCTCTGATTCCGAACTCGCTGCACAGATCCTTCCGCGACCAGCCGAGGAGATCCTGGGAGGGGAGGAGGAGAATAGGGTTAAAAGAGGCAAGAATTGGGGAGGATGGGGGGGGCTATGAGAGCATCAAGTCCTCCATCCCAAACCGGCCAGGCTGTATGCGAGGCAGGCAGGATTCCAGGGGATCTGTCTCTTGGGGGCACATCCCCCACAGCTGCGGCATTGGGGTCCCGGGTTACCCTCCACTCCTGAGCATCACCTCTCCGCCCAGCAAGACAGGCAGGAGACTTGCCCACCCTTCCTGAGGTCTCCGGTTCACTAGCCCCTCTGATCCTGGCCCACTGCCCTTTGCTCTCAGGGACCCCCCTTCTGCCACAGCCCTTGGGGGGAGTAAGATCTCACTGGGCAGCCCCTGCCAATCTGAACCCCCCCACCCAGCCCACCCGGACGGCCACAGGAACAAGGTCTCCTGGGTCCCCCCACTCAGATGCTGTCGGAGGCACCGTCTGTACTCACAGCCGGACAGGGGGCGCTCCATTCACTCATGTGCCGAGCACGCCCAGCCTCGTCCCGCAGCTCCAAGTTAGCCAAGAGTCGCTCCAGGACAGACATCCCGCCAGCCTCCCTGGCCATGGTTGTAGCAGGCCACCCCATGCACCCCAAGAAGGTTAGCCCGGGAGAGGCCAACTCTACTGCTGTCTTCAGCGGCTCTCCCTGTCCCAGCTCGCCCCAGCAGGCTCCACTCTGCCTCTGCCCAACCTGTCTGACTGCTCTGCACTCCCCGCCAGCAGCCAATGCCCAGCCCTGCGGAGCTCAGCCCAGCTTGCTCAGCGGAGAACCCCCACCCCTCGCCCCAGCAGGGAGTTAACCCCTTCGCTGCCACAGCCAGGGATGGGCTGAGAGGAGGGCGTTCGCCTCCCCCACACTCACCCTGGGGACAGCGCCCCCTGCGGGGCCTGGGGAAATGCCTACCCCCACCCACATACCCTGGGACATGCCCCCACACGCATCCGCCAGATCCAGCAGAGGACACTGTATCCACAATGAGACCCTCCCCCTGGGGAGAGCGCTCCCTGCTGGGCCTCGGGAGACACCCCTCCCCCACACTCACCCTGCGGAGAGAGACACACTGAGGAGACAAAGTCCTCCTAGCACCCCCCCACTAGTGCCAAGAGATTCCCCCTTCCCTCCTGCACACGGTCACCCCTCCTTTACCTCTGGCCCTGCAGGGTCCCTGGGCTCAGGTGTGCCCTTTCTCTTGGTCTCATCAGCACTGGGTGGGGGCGATGCCAGCAGCTCATCCAGCCAGCGCGCATTGGGATGCGGCTCAGGACCCGCCTCGCCCGGCCTCGGGCCCTCCTGGCAGCTCCCCGCCGGCGCCAGGCCCAGCACCAAGTTGTCCTCCTGGCATTGGTCGGCACCAGCTGGCCGGGGAGCATCAGACAACAGAATGGGGGCGGTTCTCTCCTGGCCTGGCTTCGGCTCGGTCAGCCGCAGGGGGACATCCAGCAGTGGCCTGCCCTGCTCCTCCCAGTTAGTGCCCGCCTCATCCACCACTGCAGGGCCCTTCAGCTCAGCCACGGGCGGCTCCGTTTGTGCCACGGGGCCTCCAGGACTCGTGGCCTCCAGGCCCCCCACCTCAGTTGCTCCCTGATTACATGGGGCCCCCGTGGCACCATCTAGGTGGGCAGAACTCCCAGCAGCCTCAGCGTCCTGCCAATCCAGGGCAGCACTGAGTTGCCCCACCCTCAGCCTCTCTGAGCTGCTCCTTTCCTCAGACCCTTTGGGGGCGGGGGCCGCGCCCTCCCCATCCGAGTCCCCATGTTCAGAGAGGCCGGAGTCATCCGCCTCTCTGATGGGGGACCTGGGGGGCTCCCACTCTGCAGTCCGAGATGGGAACGCCCATTCGAACGACTGCGACAGGGTCCAGTTGGACTCACCCTCCAGGGGTGGCCCGGAGTGGGGGGGCCCTCCTCGAGGCAGGGCAGCCAGGGAGCCCCCCAGCACTCCCATTCCTAGCCCCTTGTCTGGCAGCTGCACCACCCCGTCTGAGGAGCGCCGTAGCCCCAGCTGTGGCCACTGGGCGCTCTCGTCCGCTGGTGCAGGCCCCACATATGGCTCCGCATTGCTGAGGGGTGAAGGGGAGCCCCGCTCAGGAGATGGGGGGCTATATGGGGACACCAGGGACTCAGTGGGTCCATCAGGGGACCCCGGAGACCGAGAGACTCTGGTGGGGAGCTTAGGACACAGATTGGGGGTGTCTGGGGATGGAACAGGAGCTTCAGGGGCCCCTGGAGAGTGAGTGATTCTGGGGGGCAGCTCAGCAGGGGCATCAGGGGGGCTTGGTGCCAGGGCCCACCCTGCAGGGGGGCTGTGGGTGAGCTCTGTGGGGGCATCATGGGCACCTGGTGCCAGGGCCTGCCCTTCAGGTGGGCTGTGGGGGAGCCTGGCAGGGGCATCAGGGGGGCTATCAGGGAGCTCTGTGGAGGCATCCGGAGTGCCTGGTGCCAGGCCTGCAGAGAGGCCAGACGGAGGTGGGGACCCCTCACCAGGAACCTCCAGAGACCTCAAGGAGCGGGAGATTCTGGGGCAGGGCTCAGCTGGAATGTCTGGGGCATCGGGGGCCGGGAGTAGCCCTATGGGGATTTTAGCCAGAGACTCGGGGGTGCCTGGGAAGCCGGGCCCGACCTTGGAGAGGAGCTCAGTGTGGGCAGGGGTAGAACCAAGGGCGGGGAGCTCGGCAGGCACAGCGGAGGACCCCGGGGCTGAGGCAGGATGCTCGGCAGGGAGGATGGGGGTCCCTGGGGCCCAGGCAAGACCAGCAGAGGTGTTGGGGGCCGCCCCAAAGGGGAGCTCAGCAGAAGCCATGGGGATGGGGCAGGTCCGGGCCAAGGAGAACTGTGAGAAGAACGGGAGATCAGAGTCATTATCCATGCACTCCCCGGACAGCTCCCAAACACCATCCCCAGACGCTTCCCGACCCCCAGCACCTGGAGCGTCCCTGCCCCCATCCCCTGGATGGTCCCTGAACCCCATCGCCAAGACCTTCCCCCCCGTGCCCAGGGCTGCCCCCGTCCCCCAATCTCCAGAGCTTAACCCCCCTTTTCCCCCCAGCTCATGAGGCTTCCCCCCGTCCCCTAGAAGGCCCTCAACCTCCAGCTCCCAGGGCTTCCTCCCCCGCCCCGACCCCCAGCATCTGGGGCTCTCCCTGCCGGATTGCCCCCAACCCCCAGGACTTCCCCCTCCCCCAACCCACACCGCCTGGGGCTTCCCCCCATCCCTCAGACAGCCCCAACCTCCACCACCCATGAACCACCCTTGACCCCCAGATGCCCCGACTTCCACTGCCTGGGTCCCCCTTTCCCTTCCCCATGGGGAGCATCTCACTGGAGGCATCAAGGATGTTCCCCGCATCACTCATACCAGCTGGATCCCAATCTCCCTTGGGGGGGCTGCTGCCCGGCCCTGTCCCTTACCCGGACCCACCCTTTGTGCTCAGGCGACCCCTCCAGCCCCACTCCTGCCTCACACCCAGCTCCCTAGCTTAACCTCAGCTGCAGCCTCCCATGATCTAGGGTGCCCTCCCCCTCCCCACTGCGGGGAGCCCCATGGCAGGGAGATGAAGGCAGAGAGGAGGAGGAGGAAAAAGGAAGCAGGAGGTATCAAGCCATATGGCTGCAGAGTGGCATTCGGGGCTTTGGAGACCCCCAGCCCCAGGGCAGGAGGGTCAGATGCTCCCTCCCCCACCAGAGAGAAGGGAAAGGGGCCCGAGAGTCAATTCCCTACTCTGCCCCCACCAGGGAAAGGGAGTTAATGGTTAATCTCTTCCTGGCTATCTCCCAGGCGTCCTGAGAGGAGTGGCTGGGGGGCGGGGGGGAGGGCGTGCCCGCCCCGCCTTCCCTGCCTAGGAGTTTGGCCAAGGGCCCAATGGAGCCGGGAACCGCCCGCCTGCCGCATACCTGCCAGGTCAGCGAGCCCAACGTGGTGAGTCAGGGCTGCTCCCTCCTGGGCGCAGGCATCCAGGCTGAGAGCAAATGCCGTGTTCTGAGTCCCCGGGCCGAGGGGGGGGGGAGCTGCTGCCACAGGGGGGGAGTGCCCCCCTCAGGAGACCCTGATTCAATTGGCTGGCCTGGTCTCGTGTGTCCACCCCGCTCCCCGAGGCTGGGCAAGATAAAACAGCATTGGCCTAGGAGCCTATGGGTTGAGGACCCATGGTGCCATGCAGGACACCTGGGTTCCCGTGGCCTCACTTCCTGGGACAGCTGCAGGAGCTGGCGCTCTAGGGCTGGCAGAGAAGGGAGAGGAGACACGCACCCCAGAGAGAGGGAGCCCAGGAGGAGACAGGAGAGCCCGGAAGGAGAGCACCGAGCAGAGCAGCTACCACGCTGGAGGGGGCGAGCCGAGAACTCACACCAGGGGGGGATGGCGGCTTCCTGCGTCCGGACTGGTCCCCGTCGCAGTTGGCGCCGGCCGGGGAGGAGCCACTGAGGGAGAGAAAACACGGAGAAATGGGGGGTTAGTCTCCAGAACATCCTGCCGACTAAAATATTCCTTACGGGTAGGGCACTGGATTCCGGACTCCTGGGGTCTATTTCCGGCTCTGCTGCTGGGTGCTTTGGATGGTCCCTCCCCATGCCTCAGTTTCCCCATGTGTAAAATGGGAGAACTTACTTCCTTGGGAAAGTGCTTTGAAATCTATGGATTTAAAGCTCTCTAGAAGAGCTCGACACTTATCTTCACCAGGATCCACCCTGTCCTCTCTAACTCCACAGTCATATCCCGTTCAACTCCGACCTCCATTGATGGCCCCTTCTTCTCTCTACTACAAACCCCTCACCCTTACATCCAAGGCCTGTCAAAACCTCACCAACCTGCCCACAGCTGATCTTCTCCCATCCTCTCCCACACCAGCCTGGTGCCCCCTGCACCTGAATCATGCTCCTGGTCCACTCTCCTCTTCCAAACATTTCTCCAGAGATCCTTCCTATCCGGCGCTCTCATCTCTTTTGTGGGTCTCAAACTGCCAGCTCTCGGGAACATGTCCCGGGCCCCATCTACTGTCAACTCACCTTGGTTTAATTAAACCAAGCGCACAGTCCTGCCATATGGACCCTTACTGAGTGGCTTATTTTGGTTTAGGTTAACCACGTTCCTAACCAACTCAAAATAAACCAAGGCCTTGTGGACATGTTACAATTATCTAATATCCACTCCCTTTGGGAATCGTGCCAAGTTTGTTACCTCAGCCACATCCTGTGGCAAGGAGTTCCACAGTTTAACTCTGCACTAGATGTTAAGGTCTTGTCCATATGCAGAGCTGCACTCATCTAACTACAGGGGTGATTTTATACAGGTGCCAAAGAGCTGTTTGGGTGCCTCTAGGATTCTCCCCTACATCCAGGAAGTACCATGTAACAAACCCCTTTCTGGCTTCCTCTCCGCTTCCCGGGGGGAAGACCAGGCATCAGATCCTAGCGCCTTTGCCAGATTCTTACCCACAATGCAGTGCAGCACACATTGCCCATTCCCCGGAACAGACAAGGCCATTACTCACAATGCCCTGCACGCCCCACCCCTGCACATCAGCCCCTCACCTTTTCCTGGAGGCTGTGCCAGGGTCTCTCTCTGCTTCTCCATCTGGGGACTCTAGCAGGCGTTCTCCAATGGGACTCGGGCTTCCTTCTCTCTTCATCCTGCCAGCGACCGGCTTGTCCCCACAGGACACTCTGCTCTCCTGAGCTCCCGGGAGCCCAGATTCCCAGGAGGCCTCAAAGCCAGGGGCGACAGCGTCACCTTCCCCTCCCTCAGCGCTAGGCTGTCTCCGGAAGGCAGCATAGCTTTTGGGCCCGAAGCGGGAGCTGCTGTCAGGGCTGAAGGTTGAGCGCCGGCCCCAGGCCAGGTCGGGACTGCCTGGCCCCTCTTTGCGGGGGTGTGCCATCTTGGCCAAGATCTCTTCCACCGTGGTTCCGGGGAAGCGCTCCGGCTTGGCCACCACCGGCACCGGCTTCACTTTGAACGGGGCAGCGCCCTTGAGAACTCCGAGGGGCCCGCCAGCAGGGGGCGTCACAGGAGCCAGCGATCTCTCTTCTGTGGTACAGGACAGGGCTCTGGCTGCGGGTGGCGGTGCCCCCTTCACATTGGAGGTCTCCGCCGGGGGGCTCTTGAGGCCGAAGGACAGGCGTTTAAGGGCGGTGCTGCTGCCACCATACGGCTTGGGACCCGCCAGCAGGTTGATCTTCTCAGCAGAGGGGAACTCGAGGCGGGGGGGCCGTGACACAGGGGATGGCGGCGGGGTGCAGGGCTTGGCTGGTACAGCCGGTTTGGGCAGTGTGCGGGGTTTGGGCCCGACCGGCGGCTTCAGGCGAGTGTCACCTGGAGCTGGGGGAGAGAGAGAGACCATCTCAGAGCCCAGCCATATGGCAAAGAAGCACCAACAGCGCAACCCACGGAGCAGGCACTGCCCTGGTCAGCGCCCCAACAGGGACAGCCCAGGCAACCCCACTTTCCAGACTGGACCGCTCTGGGGTGGACATGGCTCTCCAGCGCCTGTGCTGACAGATGCTCAGTGCTGGGGGGTTGTGAGGGTGGCACCAGGCTGAGAACTCAAATTTGTCTCACAGATGGACCCCTGAAAAGCAACTGGGAGCCTGGCCCCATGTCCCATCTCCCACCCCCAGAGCCAGTCTGGGGCAGGATTGAAGCCAGTGTCCCCTAGCGGGGAAAGGTCCCGTTTCCCATTCCCCACTCCCAGGCATCTTCTGAACTCAGTCATGCTCCTTGTTCCCTGGTGCCCATCACTCAAGTGAGCTGCTCCCCAGCTCTGTTATTTTCCATCCCAGCCCCGCTCTACTCTTCCCTTCCCCACCAGCACGTACCTGTCTTGGGGCTGCCCGCCAGCTGCCCACCTCTGGCCCCCGTGCTCCCATTGGAAGTAGGGCAGGGAGGTGGGGGATGCAGGGGGTGCGTCTGGGAGGCCATGGTGGAACCTGGGTTGAGGCTCGATGAACCTGATGCACACGTCAGCCCCTAGGAGAGAGGAGAGGGATGGTAGATCGGGGCTGGCCTGGAAAGGACTAGCCAGATTCCGTCCCCTCCACCCCCATCCACTCCCATCCATGGCCCGATTTCCCAGCATGCCCCTCAGCTCCATCTCCAGCCCCCTCCCTGCTGCTCCTGTGAAAGCCCCACATGGCCCCATCACTGACTGTCTCCCTCTGGTCACATCATGCTGTTGCCACCCGAGGATGCCCCCTAGCTGCGCTGGGCACTGTACCGCCCCCACCACAGGCCCCACATCTCACTGCACAGCCCCAGCCACACCCCAACCTCCACCACTCTGCATCCCATGTACAGCTGGTAAACAAAGCCCCCTACCCCAACTTCCACCCTGCCCCCGACACAGTGCCAACCCCTGCACTCCTCCCACAGTGCCAGACCCCTGCCTCCCCTCAACTCCCCCATGCATAGTACCAACTCCCCACCACTACCCCTCATACAGTGCCAATCCCCTGCTCCTCCCTACACAGTGCCAACCTCCCATGTCCCCCTCAGCACTGCATTGCACAGGCCCAACTCCCCGCCGCCGCCGCCACATATGGAGCCAAACCCCAGTACCCTCCAGTGCCAGTCCCCCGTCCCCCACCCATGCCAACCCCCCTTTACACAGTGCCAGTCCCCCTGCCCCACCCAGCCCTCTGCACACGGTACCAACCCCTCATTCCCCCACAAACGCCGCAAGTTCCCTCACACGGGGCCAAGCCCATTCACAGCGCTGATTCCCCATCCACACGGTGCCAACTCGGCCCCTAGCCCCTAACTCTCTGCCCGCCCCCGCAGGCGCGCACGCACAGTGCCCCCGCCCCTCTGGGTCCCTCCCGCGTGGTTCAGCACCAGCTGGATCCCCCTGGGCCGGCCGCGGGGAGCCTGGCTCACCTTCCACGCAGCTGCCTCATCGCAGGCCGGGCGAGGGGGGGCGGGGCTGGGGCGCACAAGCTCCCGTGACTCAGGCAGCAGGGACGGGAAAAACCAGCTCTCTCCGAGGGCCTGACTCCGATCCCGCCCCGCCGTCCGAGCCCCAGCCCCGCCTTCCTTCCCCTGCCCCGCCCCTTCACC